TATACATATAAACCCCACATGCATACCCCCATACTCCTAAACCCCTGAACCCCTATGTACCCCTAAAGAACCACGGAATCCCCTAGAAACCCCTATCACAGACCCCTGTCCCCTTATATCTACCCCGATGAACCCCGATCAAAAAACCCTATGCATGCAACCCTTTTCCGTTTACCCCTGAACCCCAATACCCCTTTGCACCTAAACCCCTAAACCTGAAAACCGGAATACCCTTATTAAGCCCTGTAGCATGCTGCACATCGCCCAGCCCAAGAAATCCAAGTAGTTTAAATTAATTTGCACGTCATACATGGATCACTCGCCTGCAATTGCGCCAGCAGCTCGGCTTCAATCTCCAAGGCATCGTCCTGCAATTCACGGTGGGTTTTGCATGCATGCGTGAGGAATGGATATCAGGATCAAAGCATGCCTGCAGTGCACAATCATTTGGTGTTTTCGCCGAAGATCGCCAAGTCATGCAAGCACTCGCCAGGCGTGTTTTGGGAACGGCAACAGCAGCTGAGGACTCACCCGACATATTGAATCGGCTATTTAATTATTCGCTAGGATGGATGCCTCGGCTGAAACAAAAGGCACATGCACCCCCAGCTGCGGCCCGCTATGTAAAAACTGACATGTCACGGTCCATCAGATGAGCTCTGAGACGAAGCACCATGTGCACCAGCATCCCCACCAGATGAGCTCTGAGGCTGAGCAGCAGCATCCTTTTTCAAGCCGTCGTCCTCGTCGCCCTGTGCACGGGTAACCATGTGCACTTGGATCTCTGTGCATTTGTATTTGCTGCCCTCGCACGTGTCTTGGATGCAAGACTTCAAGACCTTCTGGATTGTATCTTCAGGGGATGCCGAGAGATGTGCTTCGGGCCGGCCGTCTCTGATAAGGGAGATCTCGTACACATTCTCCTCCTCTACGAAAAGCGGCGGTGGCTTCCTGCCCATGCGTGGCTCAAGCAGCGACTGCGAAGTCTGCGAAGCCGGTCGCTTCGTGTTGCCATCGCCCGCACTCGGCCGCTTCAGCAACGACTGCGAAGTCTGCGAAGCCGGTCGCTTCATGAATGGCCACCACAGCACAAATCCGGGCTGAACTAAAGTGCTATATTGCAACCTGCAACCTGAAGTTGCACTAACATGTATGCCAATGTATGCTGATGCAGCACAGTGAACTTATGCATGCAAAGCCTTATATGGTTCGACAGCGTGATTGATCAGAACATGGAGGCTGCAGGCTTCAAACAATGCGTGCAAAAATGGACCACTGGCAAACTTCAACAGCGAGCTTGGCAATGCACATGTGCAGGGGTCCTCAGCTTCATCGAGCTGCAGGTCGTCGCTGCCGATGCCTATATAGGTTCATGTGGGAACAACTGTGAAAACTGCCAAAACCGCGGCCTGCACCATCGCAGTCATCCTCGGCCTCCGAAGCATTATGAAGTTGCCAATCAAAGTGCACATGAACTCTGCCAGACAGCCGGCCTCGTCTGCGGTCTGCTGCTCTTCGGCCTTCAACAAAAAGCTCAGGCCATCACCATGATCGATAAACATAGTGCCACGAGACAGGCGGCCTCCTCTGCGATCGGCTCCTCTTCCTCCTTCAACAGAAGAACAGGCCGTCATCATGCTAATATGTAGCCGCAACCGTCGGCTAAGGAAGCCGACCTCTCCAGCATCGCCGCCTTCTGCTGCAGCAGCAGCAGCCTGCAAAGACATTTCAAAGAAGCTTCAATCAATGAGCCCAACCGAAGCCTCCTGGCGGGCTTGCTCCAGCAGCTGAGCACCATCATGTCCTGCGATCCACGGCGACACGTTGCTTCAACTTCTGTGCATTAGTGACAAACGGTAAGTTTGGCAACGACGTTCCTTGTTTCAGAGCAGCATGAAGCTTTCTGAACGGTTTCTTATACTGCAACGTGTGGTCAAACGGATAGGCATCGTGGGCTTCAAGAATTGCAACCACTTCGCCAAGACATGCTGGAGGCTGAATTTTTGGAATGCGGCGAGCTCCTGGAGCATCATAGGCCTGGGTCTCCACCCGGCTGGGGTCTTTGGAAAAACTGGTTCGCTTCTTGACCTTCAGCAAAGTCTCCCCACAGCACTCCTGGAATCCACTTCAATGGGAACAACAAACTGTCGAATGAGACCATGCTACAAATTATGAACACAGGCTGCACAGTCCTTGAGGCGTGCCAGCCATTTCTGTCTGGACTTCTTCGATTTTTTTGCTAAGCGAACGACTGTCTGCACACACGATCTCAAAGCTAAAGCCATCGTGTGAGCGTGGCCGGAGCTGGCGAGCTGGCTGTTCTTGTATCGCTCATTCAGAGCACTTTCCAAGGGCTCGCATGGCCACTGGCCATATTGCTTCTCCTCGTAGAAGCTAATGGTCCTCGGATGATGATATTCATATTTCCCGCGATCCAATGCCTTTTCAGTCCGACACACATGCAAAGGAAACATACATGCATGAACAGACACACTTCCAGCAGCTTGGCGTTCATCCTCAGAGTCTCCTCACTGATCATGGAGTCCTCGTCGCCATCATCTGCATCTCCATCCTGCTTCTCGTCGGGCAGGCACACGAAGCTCTCCTGGATGCAAGCAAATGTGCAAATCAATTTAAAGTAAACCGTGCATGTATACAGGTTTGGAGAATCGCGACATTCAACCAAGAGTCTGGGTCACCAAGAATCGGAAAATGGTGCTTCCAGCACTCTACCAGTTCCGGAACTGGAAAGCTCTTCGCCATTCGCAAAGATCGACTTCACCGCATGCAGTTGCTACCCCAAGTTTTCTACTTCTGTGTCTGTTTGCTAAGCTATCGGAAAAGGCTGGTGCAAGAAGCCTGATCGAGTAGCCCTTAAGATGCAGACTGCCATGGAGTCTTCGATTTGCAAAAACTCAAGCAACTGATACCTGCGGCTGCCGGCAAAAGTTGCAAAGCACGATCTGACATGCACAGACATGACCGCCCGTGCTTCAGCCATGCGACCATACTCTCTCAAGAAACAACTCACGGAGGGAATAATGAGTGAACCATGGAAAAGAAAGAATCGAGATATCTGGAGCTATATATATGTGTATACATATTTGCAAAAAAAATATATGTGTTTATATATACGTTGCATGCATGTATGTATGTTGTATGAGTTATACAAATCATTGCATGTGGGGTGCGTGCTGAACCGCTCCCCCCGTCCTCGCAAGCTTACTGTCGTCAAACATATACATGTGTGCATGCAGGCATGTGCATATACATATATATATATATACATCTATATAGATATGTATATATATATATACATATATACGTATATCTATAGAAAAAATATATGTGTGTGCATGTGTACGTATACGTGTGTCTGTGTGTGTTTATGAGAGTTAGGGCCAGTTTAGGGTTTTTGTTCGTGAAGCAAGCAACGGCACACTTGCCTATAGCCTGCACTGCACAAACTGTACAAACTGTACAATTAAACTGTACAGTACTTTGCCTGTTAATATATACGGCTCATAATCTTGACCCCACGACTATTTATGCAGCAGAGCCGTCGTTTAAGTGCTCCTGGGTCCTGCACCTTCAGAGACGTTTCCATAGATTTGGGCTGATAACTTTCAAAAAACCTCGCCGTAATTATACCGAGCGGCCAGAAGTTTGAGTTTCATGACCAGATATGGCACCAAACACCAGTCGATTCTGTACACTTCTGGCCAAATTGTCCCCGGGGACTTTCTTGCATTGCAAGTTGTCCCCGGGGACTTTCTTGCGTTGCAAGTTGTCCCCGGGGACTTTGTGGACAAAGTGACGGGGAATGAATTCCCCGGGAACAGACAAACTAGTTCATGTTTTTAGCGCCCGGCCGGAATTTAGCCCTGGGCATTAATTTCGGCCGGGTACGCGCCTCCAGGCTCGCTGGTGTGGATGGGTATGGGGCAATGAAGGTCGCCCTCATCCGTCACACGTATGCTACCCTCACACATCTCTCGGGCCTGCCACAAGCCTGGCTGTTGCCCACGCATTAGCCTGGGCAGGATGTAGTGAATGAATTCCGCTGCGTCGTGCTGGCGGTGTAGGTGCCTCCATTGCTGAAGCAGCAGAGACCATTGCATTCCCCCAGTGACCTGAGTAGTAGAGGCCGTCGGGGTGGGCACACACAGGGCCTGTAAGCACGGGGCAATGAAAATGTCGTGCTCCCCATGTAGCCGTGCCTGCATTAAGGTCCATAGCAAGCTTTGCAATGTGGAATTAAGGTAGCACAGCGAGGTGGTGTTATGCAGAGCAAGCTTGAGGATCGTTTTGAGAGCAATGAGCGAAGCCTGTTTTGTCACCACCGGTTCAGCTGGTACAGCTCGTCGATCGCGTTGTCGTAGCCCGGGCGGTCTCGACGGAGACGGCAACCGATTGTGTGCCACGCCGCCATGCCCACCCACTCCTGAAGGATGGTCCATATCGGGTGGCCGCCCGGCCTGAGGGAGACCTCCACCTGGAACTGGACCCACTGCGTTGTCGGATTGGGCACCAGCTTGCGGACGCTCTTGAAATGGTGCAGTGTCTCCTCCGTCACATTCTTCCGGATCTCCACGAGCTGCCTGAGTAGGTCCTCGGTAGACTTGGTGGCCGCCTGTGGCACGAGCTTGAGCTGCTGGGTCTCGGCACACCAGCGTAGGACTTGCCACTGCTGGTGGCTGTCGATCCAGTTCAAGTCCCTGGCCGCCTTCATGGCTTCCTGATTTGCAGCCGTCTCTTGGAGTCGTTCGTGGAGGCTCATGAGCAGCTGTTTGAACAGCATGATCTTTAGGGAGTACTGGATCTTGGCCGGCTCTTGCTCCTTCATCTCTCTC